GGCGCCATTTGCTTTGCATTTGGTTCTAGCACTGGGTTTTCTATACCCATTCATCTCTCTTTGAATCTCTTCACTCCTGATGGCACCACTTGTTGGTTCTAGCCTTTGTGCATTATGCCTCTCAGATCAGACCCTGCCCAAGTGGCTACCCTATCCCCACCTATTCCTGCTCCTGCTGCCGCATCTGCACGCATTTGTGCGTTCTGTCAGAGGCCAAATCATCTCCTTCTCCAATGCTATCAGTTTTTGAAGCTGATTGGAAAGGAAAAGCCTCGCAGAAAACGTGCAGCAGCTCCGTCCCATTTTGCCTCTCATGCAGATATCATTCCCCATTCATCTTTGCTCGTTGCAGAGGAGAGATGGAACTCAGATTCTGGGGCTACATCGCACATGACATCACGTCGTGAGCGTTTGTTGAATGCCCATCCATACAGAGTTCCTATCACTGTTGCAAATGGAGTCATAGTCTACTCCGAGCTGAGGGGAGAGATTCTGCTGAGACCGCTCATTGATGGACGCTGTGGCCAAGAAATCATTCTCACAAATGTCCTATATGTTCCTGGGATTTCCCACAATCTCATCTCTACTACCTACTTGTCTCGCATCCATGGGTACTCTGTGCTCATGGAGGGATCTGTGATCTCCTTCAGACGAGAGAATGAGCTGCTCTTTGAAGCAGACATAGATGAGAGGAACCAGGCATTTGTGAGAGAGGTCACAACTCCTTCTGTTGGTTCAGCCTTTGCTGCATCGGTGACTTTGCCTCTAGATCAGGACTTGCTGCATCGTCGGCTTGGCCACCATTCTGATACCCAGAAGATCTTGAGCAAAGGTCTGGTTGATGGTGCGAAGCTTACTTCAAACCAGAAGTCAGATCCGATTTGCGAGCCTTGTCTTGCAGGCAAGCTGAATGCGGCTCCGTTTCCTTCTACTGGCCATCGTTCTGCAGCACCGCTTGAATTGATACACTCTGATCTAAAGGAATACACTGTCTACAGCCGAGGAGGCTACAGATATCGTGTACTTTTTGTGGATGATCATACAGGCTTCAAATGTGCAATGCACCTGAAGCGCAAGAGTGGTACATTCAATGCATTCAAAGTGTTCAAGGCTTATGCTGAGAATCACTTTGGACGTAAAATCAAGGCGCTGCAGGACGACAAAGGTGGAGAGTACATGTCTACAGCCTTTGATAACTATCTGCGCTCTGAAGGCATTGTACGTCGTCATTCGACGAGAAACAGACCACAACAGAATGGAATGGCAGAGCGAGCTAATCGCACTGTCGATGAGCACACAACGGCTATGCTTCATGAAGCTAATCTGCCTCCATCCTTCAGGGTGTTGGCAGATGCAGCATACATTCATGTTGCCAATATGCATCCAACATCTCATATTCCGGAGAACACCACTCCTTATGAGCTTTGGCACAAGCAGAAGCCGGATGTGTCGCACCTTCGGGTGTGGGGCTGCCTTGCCTATGTGCATGTGCAGAAGGATAAGAGGGACACTTCTGGGATTCATTTCCAGAAGTGCATCTTTGTGGGGTATCCTACAGAGTACAAGGGGTGGCTGTTCTACAACCCTGTTACCAGAAAGCTGGTTACATCTGAGCGCGCTGTCTTTGACGAGCGCTACTTCCCTGGAAACAAGCCTTCATTACTAAACCATGTTCCTCGGAATCCACCATCCTCTTTCGTCGATTTACCTCCTCCTGTCAAGCCACATGTTGTGCACGATGATGGGGGAGATGAGGATGAGTCTCGCATTCATCGAGCACGTCTTGCACCCACTCCTAATCCATCTACTCCAAGTACTCCAAATCCTTCCCCTCCTCCATCGGAGCCTTCAACTCGTCCTAATTCGCCTGACCAGTCCCTGGAACCCAAGCCTGCACCTTCTCCTCCTCCCCCACCCGAGCCGATGCCTCCTGCTTCGCCTGTCGGTGTTGCTGCACGTCGCAAGCACCATGGTCAAACAACAGAGCATAGACCTTCAGGAGAATGGTGGAAGACTCAGCATACTTATAGAGAGCCTACCCCGGCGATTCCAAGTGATGCAGAGGACAGCAGCGATGATGAACTGCTCCTGCAGCCAGGGAGCGTTCTCATTGTGGCACATGAAGGCGATCCAACAAGCTCTGTACTCCAAGCAGCCAACGTTGCAGCAGTGCAGTCAGCTCAAGCTGCTGTTCACTCTGGCAATCCTCGCACCTATCACGAGGCGCTGCGACGAGCAGATGCTCATCTATGGGAAGAAGCGGCAATCTCCGAGATAAACTCTCTTCTGGAGAACAGCACATGGGATGTTGTGGATGCACCCCCTGGTGTAAAGCCCATTCGATCGCAGTGGGTCTTTATCATCAAACACAAGTCTGATGGATCTATCGAGCGCTACAAGGCCAGACTCGTTGCAGATGGTCGTGGCCAACGTCATGGCATTGACTACAACGAGATATTCTCCCCTACCTTTAAACCAGCGACTCTGCGCATCATTCTTGCTCTTGCTGCTCAGCATGATCTCAAGCTTCGCTCCATTGACTTCTCTTCTGCCTACTTGAACGGAGATCTCGAGGAGGAAGTCTACATGACTCAACCTGAGGGATTTCCTCAAGGAGAGCAGGGCCAACTTCTCAAACTGCGCAAGTCCTTATATGGGCTTAAGCAGGCTGGTCGTCAGTGGCACAAGAAGCTGAGTGCAAAGCTCCAGTCTATGGGCTTTACCTGCCTCCAGTCCGATCGCTCCTGCTACATCTACTCCGATGGCACGACGCGCATCATCCTCCCTATCTACGTTGATGATGGCATGATCTCTGCAAAGAGCGATGCTGACATTGACCGAGTTATTGCTCAACTTGGCTCTTCTTTCAAAGTCAAGGATCTAGGTCCCACAGAGTGGCTTCTTGGGATCAAGATTGAGCGTGACTCTGCAACTGGAGACATCCATCTGTCGCAGCGCCAGTACGCTGTGAACATGCTTGAGCAGTATGGGATGTCCGATTCTAAGCCTGTTCGCACTCCGATGATTCCTGGTCTTGTTTTGACCAAGGAGATGGGTGCCCAGACTCCAGAAGAGGCCAGCAAGTACGGAAAAATATACTTGTCTGCTGTTGGCTCTCTGATGTATCTGGCCACTCAAACTCGTCCTGATATCTCCTACACCGTCGGACTTCTTGCGCGCTTTAATAGCAATCCGGGCGAAAAGCACTGGGGTGCTGTGAAGCATCTCATGCGCTACATCAATGGCACACTAGATTATCGCATCACATACCGGAAATCATCATCTCCAGCACATTCATTCACTACTTACTTTGCTGCCTCCGACCCAGAGCCTCTGTCTCCTCCTACAGACTCTGTTTCACCCTCTCTTGCTGTCTACTCCGATGCAGCTCATGGAGACTGCAAGGTGACTGGCAAAAGCACTGCTGGTTACTTGGTCATGATGAACGGTAGTCCTGTTAGCTGGCGAAGCAAACTGCAGACCACGGTCTCTCTGTCCACTACAGAGGCTGAATACATCGCAGCTGTGGATGCTGGCAAGGAGATCAAGTGGGTGCGCAATGTGCTGTTTGAACTGGGCTATGGAGTGTCTGGACCATCCCCGCTCTTCATGGACAACCAATCTGCGATCCAAGTTTCCTAAAAACCCGGAGCATCATGGTCGCATGAAGCACCTTGATCTTGCTTACTTCTGGCTTCGAGACGAAGTTGCCAAGGGCTATATTGCACTGGAATACACTCCAACGCAGGAGCAGATTGCAGACATCTTCACCAAAGCGCTGCCTTGTCCCACTGTGGAAAAACTCCGTTCTATGATGGGAATCCGGGGGAGCTAGTTGTTGGAAGTGGGAACTCAGATGGTCTCAGATGGGAGCCGATAAGGCAGATAGGGTCTCAGATGGGAGGCGAAAAGCCCAGATCTATTGCATACTAGGCTACTTATTTACTAGGTATCAATAAGCAATCTGAGTAAGCATGAGCAATGCTCAGTAAGCATGAGTAATGCTCAGTAAGCACATGATCAGTAAGCGAAATGTAAGCAGATGATCAGTAAGCAGAATATAAGTAAGCAAAGATATGTAAGCAGATACTGCCTCGTCTGAACCAAACAACAGAGTTCAACACTAGTCTCGACTGGTCTCGTCCCGGGGGAGTGTTGCAGCCTGTGGTTGGACTGTGCCATTCTCGCATTCTTGATCATATCTAATCTTATCATCTCGGATCTGATCCTATCTCTTGCTTACTTATCTTACATACATCTTGCTTACTTATCTGCTTACTGAGCATTACTCATGCTTACTGATCATTACTCATGCTGACTGAGCATTACTCATGCTTATTCAGACCATTACTCATGCTTACTCATACAGTGTAGGATACATATATAAGTAGCATACTGTTGCCCTGAAGTCCTCAGTTTCTTACTGTTGACTTCAGGCAAGTACTTACTTCCCTTTTGACCAATACACAGAGTTTCTTACTGTTGACTTCAGACATCTGCGCTGCCTGATTCTAACAGCGAGCGGTCCAGGAGCCACTCGTCACCGCGCGCAACCACTTTGTGGAGTTGTATCTTGCGGTGAGGAATAACAAACAGCTGCTATGTGTATTCATTCTAACCTTCGTAGTTTGGTCCCATTATTTTTTTAGACCCCTTTTGGGATGGGTCGATGACCAACGACATGCACACAAAGTCTTTTCCTGCCCTTCTTACTCTTCTTGTCGAGACCATCCCAGAAGAGCCCGACAGGCCTGGCGTCGGTGTGGCTGCTGCGCGGTGGGAGGGTTCGTGTGCTGCCCTTGAAGGAGTCACTCGTGCCATAGATTCCGAGTTGTTCAAATGCTTCAAGACTTTTTTGGAGGCTCATCCCGACAATGTATAAAGTAGTTGGGGTGTACTGTAGCGATTGTCCTCGTAATGGTCAAGTTGATGGTCCTTTTGTCTTTTTTTACTTGCAAAATGCGAAGAACGAGTGGGTTTTAAGGGACAAACACGGAAGTGGGCGTGTGGTGTAGTGGAATCACTCATGCTTTGCAAGTCCCTACGGGAGGTTACCTCGCTCGTAATCTTGAATATATGCGGTCCAGGGTTCAAACCCCTGCGGGTCCAAACTTTTACCATCCCTGCTGAGTGGTTTGTGGTTTGTTGTTTTTTGTTTCCATTTTTTTTTCCCCTATTTTCTTCCCTGCTTTCAAGGCCGCAATTCTGAATTTTGATGTTCATTATTACTTCGTATACTAGGTACATTAATCATCATCATGAGTACGTTAATCGTGCGGTAGTGACCGATAGCGTGGGTGGCACACACAACAAACAGAAAGAGACAGGTATCGCGCGCATAAGAAAAAGTGAGAATTAAGGAAGGGGGGTAGCGGACGTTGACGCTGAGGGGATGTGGTTTGGATGTCCTTCCCATTGCGGAGAATAGTCGATAATTGGCCCAAACGTGCTGTCTGCGCCTCGAATCTGGAAACGGTGAACTTTGCAGCGTGAGCCCTCAGAGCGGATGGCACCCAGGTGCTTGATGATGCAAGCAAACTCTTTGCTGCATCCAGCGCACTTGAAGTTGAACATCTGCGAAAACAATATGAGGAAAGGAAACACCCTAGGAGATGGATTACTGACAGAAGAGGGGCGTTGCTTCTTGCTGGGGCCAGCCTAGATATTTTTTTTGAGATTAGAGCAACAGCAAAATGGTAATCAAGCATACCTCGTCTGCAGGAGGCTCTTCAGGAGGCGCAGCCACCGGCTGAACGGAAGTCAAGATTGAGGGAGATTATCAAGAAGTGTTAGACTCACAATGAATGGTTCAGCAGGTTGACACCACTCGGCGAAATTGACATGAGGCCCAAAATGTAGTGCACTCCCACCGCGTGAGATTGGGGTCACGGATCTTGAAATGTGTATGCTGACAGTCTTTGGGCATATGTTCTCGGATGTCGCGGAACTGCTGGCGGTGCCGCTCGCAATAATGATTCAACTCGACTTTGGGAAGCTGACAAAAGAACTGTGAGTAAAGTAAAAAGATATTGGTTAACAAGACACACCCCTGTTGCATGATGTTTCCTCTCTGGCTTGGAAACAACCTGCGAATCCAAAGTGCCTGCATCGCTGACACTGTCTGGCATTTCAATATCCATGATGCCAGACGGACCTGCCACAGGCCCTCCGCTCCCATCTGCCATCATCACCACATCCTCATCATGAAGATGTGTGAGATCTACTGGCATGAATATGTTAGAATAAGCGAGGCCGGTCCGAAGACTGCTCTGCGAGGACGACTAAGTGGAGAGCGCCTAAGCTGAGTTATAGAGTTAAACCAATGTATTCGAGGTTCTTCTCGATAGAGAAGAACCTTATCGAGTGACTACTTATATACAAGACATGCGGGCCGTACTACTAAGCTACAGTGAGTCACCGGAACCATAACCGAAGGCCGTTTAACCGGCCGACAATGCCGATGCTTCTAAATACGTATAGAAGGCGGTCTGTCGCATGTGGGTCTTGGTACAATAATATCCGTACATGTAATGGTCCGTAACAATCGCAAGAAGGAAAGTACACGTAACGCCAAGCATAAGTTCCGAACTTCAACAGAATACTGGTTGAGGCTCAGGCTCCTTGGAGAGACAAAGACGACGGAAGCGGGAGTGGGTTGTGGTACCGCAGATTGGGAGTTGATGGTAGATAATGATATGGCAAAGGAAATCATGTTGGAAGTGAGAACTCAGATGGTCTCAGATGGTAGCCGAAAAGGCAGATGTGGTCTCAGATGGGAGGCGAAAAGCCCAGATCCATTGCATACTAGGCTACTTATAGACCATGTATCAATGAGCAATCTGAGTAAGCATGAGTGATGCTCACTGAGGTAAGCACATGATCAGTAAGCAGAATCCAAGCAGATGATCAGTAAGCAGAATATAAGTAAGCAAAGATATGTAAGCAGACACTGCCTGAACCAAACGACAGAGTTCAACAAATCATGAGGTGAGAAAGTGTGTGTTCTGCATGAGGGTACCAGGCATTGCCATTCCTTATCCGAGTTGAGAATCTCCCGGCAGTGAACATCCAGATGAGATTTCTCATCCTTGTGGCAATGAAATCTAGTACAAAGATGGGTGAGGACAAGGGAAAGACAAGTCACAGAACAAGGCTTACTGGCACATTTGCTCTTCAACAGGCAGTTCCGCGTTGTACGCGCAAATGAGGCAGAACACCGGGGTGAGAGGTACTTGGTGCTGGAAATGGCCATGAAACTCTGGTCGAGCACCCCCAAACCCGGTCCCGTTCTCGAACTCGATGCAATGATCCACCGCAGGTGTAAAGAGCACACTGTGGTCTTCGAAATCGACAGGTGTCTCCACTCGCATAGCAAATGGTAGGAAAAGGTTCTCATAGTGGTTGATGCAATGCTCTCGCCAAAGAGCGCTTTCCCCATTGTAATTGACAAACCTGAGAGCATGATGAATATATGAAAGACAGAAAAGAAAAGCACACACGTCTGGGCACATATAGCACAATACTTGACATCAACCGCCTCCCTCACATTTATGCCGTGAGCCTCTGCAAATGCTGCTCAAGATTACTGCACTCCATTTCACCGCAGACGTTGACATTGTCCCGGGTGTTGTCATTGGTCTCGGTCACATCGCGGAGCCATTTGCACCAAGGAGCATTGGGCTGCAGACCCTTTTGGTGCTGGAGCGATGAGGTCTCGAGATGCTCAATATGATCCGCAATGTGGGCACAGAATTTGGCTCGGGTACTCCAAAGGATGTCTGCACGCCGGCACTTGAACCATTGGCAGGCTTGAGGCTCGTCTTTACATGCAAGGCCTGGAATTTGTGAGTCTTGTATTTCATCTCAGCTGAGAGATCATTAAATCAAAATGGGTAGCAGAACAAAATCCAAAACCATTGAGAGCGTGGATGTTAGAATAAGCGAGGCCGGTCAAAAGACTGCTCCGTGAGGACGACTAAGAGGGGAGCGCCTAAGCTGAGTTATAGAGTTAAACCAATGTATTCGAGGTTCTTCTCAATAGAGAAGGACCTTATTGAGTGACTACTTATATACAAGATGTGCGGGCCGTACTACTAAGCTACAATGAGTGACCAGAACCGTTACCGAAGGTCGTTTAACCCGCTGACGATGCCGATGCTTCTAAATACGTATAGTCTGTCGCATATCAGTCTTGGTAAAATAATATCTGTATATGTAATGGTCTGTATCAATTGTGAGAAGGAAGGTACACGTAACGCCAAGCATAGATCCCGAACTTCAACAGATCCTTGAATATCTCTTTCTGCACAAGACGCTGGTGTCTCATGAGGCACACGGCTCCTACCTGTAGTGCTCACTTCTGACGTTGGGCCAGTCTGCAAAATTGTTGTACAACGGGGATGAAGTCGAGATTAAAATAAAACCGGTGCTATATCCAAGAATGATGGGGAAGTGAGGGCCAGAGATCGAAGGTCCAGCAGATATCGGAGGATACGCAAGCGCCACAGGAGACAAGGGGATGCTTACTATCTGGGCTGACGACAAGACCTAGAAGTATAGGAGGATAGTCAGAAGATCGGAGGTCGACTTAGAGCGAGGTGAATAGCCAAGCAACGTTAATAATCAAACTGAAGGATACATGGTTGTAGAAAGCATATTTATACTAACATCGAATTTTTAAGTCATATAAGGAAATATCAAGATGATCAAAGGACATACAATAATGACCAGTCGTAAGGAGTTGAAGAAGTAAAAGACAATAAGAAAGAAGACGGATAAACGGGAAACACTCAGTAATCCTTCACTGCGTAAAAACCCGTATGACCAATGAATGTCCGATGAATATGCGAGAACTCGGAGATCAGATATTGCCTGCTTAAGCCCATATAAGGACTTGGGCAGTTTCAGAAGCTGGCCCTGCTCTCCCTGCGGAAATCCCTCGGGCTTAGTCATGTAGACCTCCTCCTCAAGATCTCCATTCAAGTAGGCAGATGAGAAGTCAATGGAGCGAAGCTTGAGATCATGCTGAGCAGCAAGAGCAAGAATGATGCGCAGAGTCGCTGGTTTAAAGGTAGGAGAGAATATCTCGTTGTAGTCAATACCATGCCGTTGGCCACGACCATCTGCAACGAGTCTGGCCTTGTAGCGCTCGATAGAGCCATCAGACTTGTGTTTGATGATAAAAACCCACTGCGATCGAATGGGCTTTACACCAGGGGGTGCATCCACAACATCCCATGTGCTGTTCTCCAGAAGAGAGTTTATCTCGGAGATTGCCGCTTCTTCCCAAAGATGAGCATCTGCTCGTCGCAGCGCCTCGTGATAAGTGCGAGGATTGCCAGAGTGAACAGCAGCTTGAGCTGACTGCACTGCTGCAACATTGGATGCTTGGAGTACAGAGCTTGTTGGATCGCCTTGATGTGCCACACAATGAGAACGCTCCCGGGCTGCAGGAGCAGTTCATCATCGCTGCTATCCTCTGCATCACTTGGAATTGTCGGAGTGGGCTCTCAATAAGCAGGCTGAGTCTTCCACCATTCTCCTGGAGGTCTATGCTCTGTTGTTTGTGTTGAAGTTCGGAACTTATGCTTGGCGTTACGTGTACTTTCCTTCTCGCGATTGTTACGGACCATTACATATACGGATATTATTGTACCAAGACCCACATGCGACAGACCGCCTTCTATACGTATTTAGATGGTTCCGGTGACTCATTGTAGCTTAGCAGTACGGCCCGCATATCTTGTATATAAAGTAGTCACTCGATAAGGTTCTTCCCTATCGAGAAGAACCTCGAATACATTGGTTTAACTCTATAACTCAGCTTAGGCGCTCTCCACTTAGTCGTCCTCGTGGAGCGGTCTTCGGACCGGCCTCGCTTATTCTAACAGTTTGACCGTGGTGCTTGCGACGTGCAGCAACACCGACAGGCGAAGCAGGAGGCGTAGGCTCGGGTGTAGGAGAAGCAAAAGGTGTAAGCTTGGGTTCCAGAGAATGTTCAGGCGAATTGGGACGAGTTGAAGGCTCCGATAGAGGAGGGGAAGGATTTGGAGTACTTGGAGTAGATGGATTAGGAGTGGGTGCAAGACGTGCTCGATGAATGCGAGACT